AATTACATATTAGTCACTCTTTTCAAACTATTTATCAACAATCCAAACCAACACCAACTATAACATGTTTTCAAGCTAAAACACTGAAATATTATCGAAATATTATCGAAATTAAACGATCTGACTTTACATAAGGCGGAAAGACGAAACGTAAATTTCAACTCAACCACCTACTGGGTTTTTGATCGAAAAGCTACGAGGAGTCTGAAATCGAGGCGGTGAAACAAGATGGTCATTGAAATGGCCGGAATCAACAAAATTAAAATGATAATCGGGGTTTTGGGTGTTTATTTCCCTTCTCGATTTGGCCTAACTGTGACCGATTTCAGAGCGAGGTTGGTCGGGATCGATTCGCTAAGGTCAGGCGCACCTGATGGAGGTGGCGGTGCTGTTCATCGCCGACCGGAACAAGGAGGAGGAGGAGGGGCAGAAGCTAGCTTAAATGAGGAAAAATGAGTTTATGTAAAATGTAGTTTGGGTTCACTGCACGGGGAGGGGGTTTTGCAGGTAAAATGGGTTATCATCCAAAATATAAAATGAATCCACTAATTAATGTTTCTAATAAAAAAACAAAACACGTCATATTGGTTATGACATTGTCTTCCACTATATTATTATATTTGTAGTGTCCATTAATTAAATTCTAGTGCCTTTTATTTATTCTTAGTGCTATAATATATATATATATATATATATATATATATATATATAATATATATATATATATAGTGGAAGTTTATGGGGCAGAGTGTGACAGAAACAGTTTCTCTCAAAATAAAATTTTATGTCACTTATTTTCTCTTGAAGTAAATTTCGTCTCACTTAAGATAATCTTAGGAATTGCATCTTACTTGAGATATTTCCCTTGAAAATTTTCATCTCATTCGATACAGTTGCACTCGAAACAAAATTTCATCTCACTTAAGATGTTTTCCCTTGAAAATTTTCATCTCACTCGATACAGTTTCACTCGAATTAATTTTTCATCTCACTTGAGATATTTTCCCTTGAAAAATTCATCTCACTTAAGATATTTTCACTTGAAAATTTTTGTCTCACTCTAGATAGTTTCTCTCAAAACAAAATTGCATCTCACTTGAGATATTTCCCTTGCAAATTTTTGTCTCACTCGAGAGTTATTCATGAAACAAATTTTATCTCACTTGATATATTTTCTCTTGAAAATTTTCATCTTACTCGAGACATATTCCCTCGAAATAATTTTCTTTCACTTGTAATATTTTCTCTTAAAAATATTGTCTCAATCGAGACAGTTTTTTGACATGACTTAACTCGCAAAGCGGAGTCATTTAAAATTTGACTTAAATAGTAACGGAGGAGTCATCCACAACTTATCTCAACTCGCAATAAGAAGCTAATTTTCTATATTTTAGGTTTGCCTAAGAGCATTGAAATACACACATGTGTACAATTTTACATATTTTTGAATCAATTTCAACTTCACAATGAATGATATTGAACTCAGAAGATACCTAGGATCGACTTAACTTGTGATTAAGAGAAATCCAAAACATAGCTTAACTCAACAAATATGAGCTATTTTCCAACCTAGGTCTTCAAGTCAATTTTCAACTTCACGATAAATGATATTAGACTAGAGGAAGACCCAAGATCGACTACGATTTAGATTAACTCAACAATAATGAGCTACTTCCCAGCCCAAATTTCGAGCAAGATTTCAAGTTCACGATGAAGGATATTGATAACTTTGTAAAATGACTATATTTAGAGCCTTCACTTAATTTATTATAGATCTTAAGGCACATGCATTTAAGAGCATATTATTACATTTGGTGGATTTTATTTTTCGTGGAATTTTAATTTGAAAACGGAGCTACTTAAAAGGGGAAGGTAGTGTTGGCTGATGATGTGTAGGTTTATGGAGCCAAGGATGATCTAGGAGAATTGCCACAGTGAATTGAGATAACAAAGCAACCAAAATGTCGTGGCATTTTAGATAACATTTTTTGACAAAAAAAGACAAAAATGACGAAGATATTTTTATAGGAGCTGCTAACTGTCCATGTTTGAATGTGAATGTCATACCCAACTGTTATTTTTGGGACCACATAATAGCCTAGAATCCCTTCATGTGAAGGGCATGAATTATTGGGTGCAAAGGGAATTTTTGTGCAAAACCCTAGGACATTCTCCTAGTATATATAGAAAAATGATGCCACAAAAATGTGCAATATTCTTTGAGGGAAAAAGTGAGCTAGGCAAGAGTGAAAAGGGGGGCTAAAAGTTTCCATTTTTTTCTTTCATTTTCTTGGCGGTAACCTCCATATCCAAGCTCAAAGGAGTGGTGAGATAAGCATGTGAGAGAGTTGGCATCGCTAAGGTGGTTCACGGTGGCCCAAGGGAGCTCACGATGATGCGCGTGTTGGGAGTTTCCTCTATCCTTGTTCTTTCATTTTTATTTCTATTTTATAGGTTGTAAGGAACAAATTAATTCCATGGATGATTTTTACCCCACCATGAACTAAACCTTATTTGGTACGGGTTATTATTGGTGATTAAATGTTTAATTTCATGAATGATTTAAGTTTTTATGCTTTATCTATTTGCTTTGCTCATTGTATTTAATTACTTAGGATTGTAAGAGCCATGAGAGTAATCATTTATTAGGTAGAAAGTTTAGTGTTCGAGAGAAACTAAGTGAAAAATCCTTAGTGTTCGAGAAAAACTAAGTGAGGATCAACGTGATCAATGGGTTTTAGCTGGTAACTAAGACCTAATCCACCTTGAGATAAGGATAGGATTTCAACAACTAAAATGAGTAGTGCTTATTCGATAGGTTTTATGTTACTATTAATGCCGAGAAGTATTACCGTGGTATTTTTATCTGTCAAGTTCCATGACTAGAGATAGCATAGAATCAATTTTAGTAAACTCTGTCGAGCAAATAGGCCATAGAAGCTTGAACCATTATAATATAAAAGACTTAGGATTCCTTAGTGACCCCACCAATCATTCCCATTGCAGCTTGTTTGTGTAAGGATTGTCAAGTTATTTTACTTATCCCCAAATCCTTAATCTATTTTGCTTTAACATTTTTAATTGGTTACACTCTAAACATCTCAATTTGACATAACATTTCCATCTACCACCCATCCACATTTCGATCTACCACCCATCCACACTACCATTGAAATTCCACCTGCATACATTTCATTTTGTTACATCATTTCTATTTTCTACCTTTCCATATTGTCATTGCAACTTCATCTGTGTACAGTTCATTTTGCCTTAGCATTTCCATAACACTTGTTCATACCATATCAACTATACTTAGTTACTTTAGAATAGTGCATAAACTTTACTCAAGATCCCTCCAATCCATGTGGAGACGATACTCACTCACTACTATGTTACTTATTCGATTGTGTGTACTTGTACATATTTTTACGTAATTTATAGTACTCACAATACACGAACATATGTAAAGCTCGAGTCATCCAAGATTTACTTAAGTTGTAATGGAGGAGTCATCTACAATATAGCTTAACTCAACAACGAGGAGCTATTTGCAACCAAATTCACTTGTAAAGGGTTCATAAATATTTAAATCGGATTTCAACTTCACAGTGAAAATTATTGGACTTGTTCATTCAAGGGAGGAGTCAACTATAACATTGAGTTAAATATCAACTTCATAACCAAGTATATCGGGGTCAAAGAAAATCCAACTTTAACTCAACTCTGCCACCTCGAGCAGAGGAATCAATCATCTTTATCAACTTTAAATATTCAAAGACAACTAACTAATGGTTATGTTGACTTTTGTATATTCATCTACTTTGAGACCAAGATGAACCAGAAGAATAGTTTAAAACCCATCAACTTGAAGATATTGAAGAACCCTTGGAATGGACTCAAAAAGGCCTACTCATTCTTAAAGATGAAAAAAATTAGTGGAAGAGTATATAAGTCAAAGGTCAAGAGAAAGTGACAATACCAAGGAAAGAAGCTACACTAATCGGATAAAAATTGGTAATTTTTTATCTTTACTCTATTCCAATACAAGCCAATGAGCAAGGAAGGGTAGTTGTAATACCAAATTTTTTTTTGGACTCCAAACTTATCTGAATGCAAGAGAACCCGTTTACACTGACAATGGTGAAAAGGAAAATACCATCATATCAAAGAATATCCCATATGAATCTTGTCATATTCAATGTGATCTCCTACCAATGTAAAAGAATATGCTAATTGATGTAATTAGGTAATATTATATTTTATTTCCTTAGATAAGAAGATCTTGTATTATTTGGAGACATCTTAGTCGTTGATGTAAATAATCTAGATCCACTACTAGAAAAAAACCCCTTTAATGACGCTCATTGCGCGTCATCTATGGATGCGGATGACACACAAATGCCTATCGTAGAAGCCACCGACATGAATCTCAGATGACACGCAATTATGTGTCATAAATCTATGACGCACATTTATGACACACATTTATGACGCACATTTATAACGTTCATTGAGAGTCATTGAAGCCCCCATCATAAATTAAGATGACACACATTTGTGTGTCATAAATTTATGACACGCATGTATGACTTACATTGCGTGTCATTAAATCCCCCATCATAAATAAAGATGACACACATTGTGTGTCAGAGATTTTATGCACTCAGTTGCTTTCCCATAATTATTAGTTTAAATAAAAGAAATTAAGCACATTTTAGTTAAACAGAATCAACATAACATAAGAAATATGATAATTGTGGGAATTTACAATGTAAAAGGGACAATCCAACCAACTGGTAGTTGCAAATCAAAGAAAGCCATATGGCTTCAAATTAGATCGTCATTGTTCTTAGACTCTTGGAACATAGAAACATGGTCCAATATTTTACAATAAGAATATAATGACTAAATAGAACAGAACAAGGTACCATTTAGCTTGAAGGATTTTGTCACTACATCAATTCTCATGTTTATGGGAGTAAAGAAACCTAGAATCTTTCTTATCGTCTCCTCATCCCATAACTCATAGACATAGTCTCCAAAGATAACATGTTCTGGTGGATAAACAAGCAAATTTTCTGCAACAAAGAAACAAAATGAATAGTTAATGGAATGCAGCAGCAAATACCAGAAATTAGAAATAAATATATCTTCCTAGTTATATTTATCAATAACTTGGGTCAACACTAATGAGAAGATCGTCGTGTTGTGAACAACAGGCCAAAACAGTCCCCCGCATTCATATTTTGGTACATATACATTGAGAATCTGGGAAAAAAAGAAGAAAAAAGAATGACCAAAGAACATGTAGAAATTGAATTCTTCTAGATCTATCTTGTACTTAATTGCATAAAATCATCATGCATAATAAAAACACACCACAAACAACTTGTAACATAAATGTGAAAATTGTAGAGGCAGATTATCTGCTAGCTACTTAAGTACAAAGAAGATATTGACATATTCTATAATACAGAGGAAATGGAAGCTTAGAATGTAAATTCCACAAAGAAGCTTTTCCAGAGTTACTAATAAAGAAATGTGTTTTACAAACAAGGTTGACATGTAGGATGTAAAGCTTGGAATATACTTCCAAGAATTGGCTCTCACTAAAGGGGAATTTGGTTGTTCAGCACCATTTCATTGCTCGCACTCCCCGTATTTTCTTTTACATTTTATAATATGTTTAATGGGGACTACTTCATTGTTGTGAACAAAAACTAAAATAAAAAATGAAAAGCAGTTTAATATCCAAAATGTTGAATTTGTTTAACAAACTGTAATCTAGAAATCTTATTCTCTTAGCTTAGTTTTTATTAGTGTGAATGAACAAGGTTCTCTCCATAAAGCAAAGACAATATATCAAGAAACAATGTCAACACAAACAAAATGCACAATTATTTGATTAACAAAAAAGAAGGGCACAAAATTGATCAGAAATCACACACCTGGTTCCGGTGACGAGGAAAGCAAGAAAGAAGTAAATCAATAAGAAGGGCACTATTAAGGGTGCCATGATAGAACATGTGAAGCCAAGCAGTCCAAACAGAAGAAGTCGTGGGATTTCAGTATGGTGAGGGAAGGTTAGAGCAAAACTACTACATGGCTCTTCTTGCTTTCTTAGTATGAATCTTCTGAACCAATTGTTAAAAAAAGGAAAAAGTTGAATTACTTCACAGGACAAGCTCGCCCAGCCCGATGTTAAAACATAAGTGGTAAAGAAGGTAGTATGCATTTACTCAAGAAGACAAGAAAACTAATGACTGTCAGAAATATTCCTGAAGATTCGTCTTCAGATGACATTAAAGGGGGAAAACCAAGAGTAAGGTATTGCTACGCGGGCTTGTTAAAACCAGAAGTTGGCTATCACAATTTTAAAACTCATAACTTTCAAAAGTATAGTTTAGGTTCATACAAAAAAGGAGCACATGATGCATCTCTTATAGACCAAGATAAAATTTAAATCTAGATGCACCTGAAACTTTTCCATGAGGTCGAAAGAATTGAGGTTCTATTAAACCAAATATTATGGAGTGGCATGAAAAGTTACCTTGGTCGGTTGGTGGAACATCATCATGGTTGGTGGAACATCATACATAAATAACATCAGAATTACACTTGGTAGGTAACTAAAGACTACAATGAGAACTATGCTGTCAATCTTTCTTACTAACGATAACTGACCAACATGATAAACAAGAATGTGAATCCCTTTTTCTATGTACCTTATTCTTCCATCAAGAAGTGACAAATTCAACACTAGTCCGTCAAAGAACAAATTTACACTCCTGCTTTAATAATATGTTATTTCCATTTTATTAATAGTTTTAAACATAGCATTATAAACAATCAAACATATTAGAGACAGAACTATTTCAACAATAAACAAGGGTGAATTGCATTCATAGAAATTCACATGAAAATGGACGCATTTACAGGATTTGCAAGTTCAGATCTTAGTGGTTCCAGCATTTAGCATTGGAAGTTAGTTTGGAAGCAATTCATACAATGTTCAAATACCTTGGTTATTGTAAAAGGAGGGGTAAATATCGAAAAAGTGAAAAAGCACTCAAAAACAAAAATTAAAATGAGACAACAGTCGAAGGTATCAAACAGATAAAAAAACAAACCCATTCATAAAATCTAAAAAACCCAATCGAAAAGAGCTAGAACGCTTACGGAAGAAAATAGTAAGATGATATGACTAAGGGAAGAAAATTTCTCAACAAGGCAAAATTTCTCAACAAGGCAAAATTTCTACGGTTTGATAGTATAAAACTTGGGAAGGGAAAAACACAAAATAGTATACTGTAAAATTTTACAGTAATCTTACTAAAGCACAAATTAATCTTTTCAACTAACAACAGCATTAAGGGGGGAAGGACGTGTTCATCAGGTTGGGAACCAAATGTATTTCCCCTCAACATAGAACAAAATAAGGGAATGCAAATGGAAAAGGCCCAGATATGCACTTCATAAAAAGTGGCCACAAGAGGAGGTTGATGGAGATGGAGATAGAGAGGAGAGAAAGATGCTCTAATATCAAACAAAAGCAAAACATATGCAAAGACCTCTTCTATCAGAAGTAGCAAGAATCATAAAATCCAAATAAAAAGAAAATTTTCAGTTTCAATATGCCATGGGATTGATAGATAGGTTCATGAACTTATGGAAACACATCTTAGAAGGATAAATCCTCACTAGCACACACAATTTTTAAATATTAACAAGTGTTTGGCTCATTAAACGTGGTTCTGCATTAATATACATCTGTCTGACCTTCACATCCAAGCTGGTGAGAACTGACTCTTTAGGAAGAGACTAAGACCTCATTAAGCAGTGAGGAAACTTATTAAATAAAACCTGGTTGCTTGTATCCATATATAACTTAGGCTTCTAATAATTGCAATATGCTTATTAAGAGTTCTCTACTTCATCATGTAATGTCCTTAACAGGAGTTCAAATTGTAAACAGTTTCTCAGGATTGGCAAGCAAAATATTGTCTAATACACTATATGGATTTAGAATTCTTAAGATATAAGACCCAATCCTACTGCAAATCTGCATAAAATACGATTACCATATAGGTTTAGTCAGCAGAAAAATGGAAGTGCTTATGAAGATCGCAAATCCTCACCCTGCTACTACAGTTATGAATCAATGAGGCATCCTTTTCCTAGAAAATATATACGCAATTTATTTGCAATAGGTTGCTGTAAATAATCTACCGGCATTGAGAAAATCAAAAAACTTATAGCGCTTACAAACGCATAGACTTCACAGCTTAACTAATTTCACATTTTTCTCTCGAACGAAATCAAAAATAACGAAGGAGCACATAAAACTTAAAAAGTAAGTCCGATCATTTCCAAACACGGAATTTAAATAGAGAGGGGAAAAAAAGAAGCTTTGACACCCTAACCTTTTCTTTTTTGAATTGATTACGGATGTTGTCGAGCTCTTTATCGACGCGTAAGCATTCTAGCTCTTTGTTCTGGCAATTCCGAACAACGCTAATGAAAATTGTGAGCCCTCTCATCCCGTGCATTGCCATTCCGATTTACTGATCAGATACACTTCTTCTTCCTTTGTGATCTACCTCTCAATTGAATGGTGGAATAGAGAACGAGGAATACAGGTGGAAAACCTTGAATTTTGATTCCCTCGTCTATGTTGTGGTGAATGGCCAAACCAGTGGGAGGTTGCATAGAGAAAAAAATGGGAGAAGCATGCGGCGTGAACTTCGTTATCGAAGGGAAAAAAACAGGAAATGATGAAAATAATGGGGGAATTTTCTTTTACAATGACACACAATTAAAATTGTACTTTTTTAGATTATGACTATTAAATATAACACATATTATTGTAAGTCATAAATCGTTCAGATTTTAAAAAACATAACATTTTTTATGACACACATTTTTTGCAAGTCATAAATCAACGTGTGTCATCGTTCGTGTCATTAAAGATATATTTTCTTGTAGTGATCATTGGATGTTTAAAGGCTCGTATATATAAATAGAGGTCTTCTATATCTCTTTAGACAGAGAAAAAATACAGAAAAAGAGAGACAAATGGTGGAAAAAAAGACAGAAAAAAGAGGGAGGGAGAGTATCCAAAGTATTGTAATTCGAAAAGGAGCAATAAAAGAGAATATTTGTTTTAAAGGTAAATTTTTCTTTTAATATTATTTTTTGATGTGTTCGTTTCGATCCATCTTGACATTTTTTTTTTTTGAAAATTCTTAGGGAGAGGTGGTTGATGATAAGGAAGGGAATTTTTCATGAAAAAAAAATCTTTGGTTCTATCCTGCTCCGAGGCCCTCCAAAGAAACTTATATTTTAGATTTTTGTTCAGTTAAATCACCTGATAACTCAATTCGAATTCTTATGGGATTTGTGTGTGTTTACACGAGTAGGAGATAATCAAAGTTGAAGCATGTATTACTTTTTTTGAAAATTTATTTTAGTCCCCTTTCATTAAATCTGTTTTGATTCTTTTTAAATTGAACTCTTAATTTTAACTCAATTCAATTTAATCCTTTTTTTTTATTAATCTACTTATTTCTTTCATTTATTTTACTTTTTAAATTTACTTGAATCGTGACCGACTGTGGCTTATATTAACTTTAATATTTTTTCTAATTTCACTTCTTTTAATTTTGATTAATTCATGCCTTATTCTTTGTTTTGGCTTTCCTTCTTTCTTGATTTGTCTTTTTTTAGATTGATATTTTAGTTCAGTTAAATATCATTTTTATTTTAAATGCTTTCCTATCCGACAATTTTATTTCTCTTTTATTTCTCATTTTTTAATTCATTTGAGTTATTTATATATTTCTTAAATTCTTTTCATTTTGTATTCCTTTGTATTGAGATTGTGTTTTGATTTTGTATACTCATTTCTTTATTTAAATTATCTGTGTTATATTTTTTATGTTAGTACTTGTAACTCTTCCTTATTTTTGCATATTAGATTCAATTTGTTTTTTTTTTACTTTTTTGCAATATACTTATTTTTATTTTAATGTGACATATTCTCAAAATTAAGTAACTTGGATCAAATTTTTAAATTTTCATTTAAATTCCAACTTTCACGATTAAGACAATCAGAAAATCGATTGGTACCGAAAGAGCGACTCGGGTCGATGAAGCTTATCCTTCCTCGATCGTAAATGACTCATGAATTCGATAATTATCTAGTAAAATACATATCCGGTTAAAATGGTGAAATTAAGGTGTCATGTCTACCTCATTTGAAATGATCGGCGACGACTCCATCACGCAATCCAAGTCGAAACGCGAACTCGAGATCACCCGAAAAACCGTTGCGACAACTTCCTTTGAAATCTATATTTATAAACATCAGGAGTAAATATCATATAGAACTCTAACTCTAATGAAAATAAAAATCCTAATAATAAAGTATATCAAAATCATATCTTTTAGATATAGATAGATATCGACATAAATAAATATTCATAATAATTTAATAATTATTAACAATCTTTATATTTATTTGAAAAAATCATCCTAATTTTGTTCTCATCTCTAATTTTTTTTTTTTAAAAAAAAAACTTAACTTGGATTCAATTAAATGTCAATAGCATCGAGAAGTACATCGGCTTTAATACATTTTGGTTCATAAAACAAAAACAAAAAAGAATTGGTCCTCGACAAGGCCCAATGTGCAAGAGCGTGCGCCACCCAGTTCACCTCGTGGTTGACATAATGAATCTTGAGGGTCAGATCCTACCATAATGGTGCTCGTCTCCTTGAGCAGCAATCCTATTGTCGAAATATCTTCTCGTTTGTTCGCCAAACGATTCACAATGAAGACGGCATCCCCTTCAATAATTGTTTGGTCTCATTCGTTCTCGGTCACTAGTCAAAGGCCTTCAGTGAAGGCTAAAGCCTCACCGATTTCTGGGCAAAATGACTGAGATAATGTGAGGGGAATTTTTTAATTCTCAATATAGTCTAACTTGGAGATTATTTCATCATTTAGGGTGAATTGAACATTACCAACTTAAAGGCGCTAGGTGTTTCACTTGTTTTCAAGTTAAATATGAAGACTCCACGACTATATGGCATCTTCAGACAAATGAAAAGACTTTACGATTGTATGGTGTCTTCAGGCAAATTGAGAATATCTCAGAAGTGCACGGCATCTTCAGACCAATAAGAAGTCCTAGTTCAGGAAATAATATGGTGATGCCTTATATGGGAAAATAATTTTTCCCACAACGCTATATGGGCGAGGAAGCCCCGATTTCTCCGTATGGCCAGTATCCAATCTACGTGCAAACCCGCGCACCAACATTCCATGGTGATCCCTAGCAACAACACCGGTGAGGACGTTGTTGTGAAAGAGATGGGGTTGCCTTGTTTTCTGTCCAATCGTTCAATATAGATGAGGCTGCAAAATAACGTGGCCTATGTTATCATGATATTCTTCAAGTACAACCATAAAGACTATTCTCGATGTGATTCATTCTCCCGGGGTTAAAGTTTGTGTGGATCAATGTGTTGGAAATGTGCATTCTGGCGGTGTGCATCTTGCTGCTGCTGCGTCAGATGGTCTGTCGAGAAAGACTGTGCTAGTTGACGATGAAGACACTTCTCAGTTTGATAGGATGGATCACGTTTTGGTTTGTCTAGAATTGGTTATCTTGAGAGTATGCCTAGTGCGGTTGAGCTAAATAATGGAAAATTTGCTTTGTACGGTTGGCATTATAGTTCTGCACTGGTAGACAATCGCCTGGTTAATCTGGGTAAACTGGGATTGATTTATTATTGCTCGAATTTGAGTTATTTTAAAAAATTATTTCATGCAAAAATTACTAATTTACTAATAGATAATTAAACATGATAAATGACTAATCTATTAATTTATAGTATTAATAGATTTTACCCTATAGTTAAAAAATAAGATAAAAGTTTCAGTGAGCTTAACGGTAATGAGCTGAGCAACGGGCTTAACGAGCATGAGTCGAGCAACAAGTTTTTTTAACGATCACGAGTCAAGAAAAATTTTAACGAGCAACAAGTCAAGTCGAGCAACAAAATTTTTTAACGAACACGAGTCGAGCACTGCCCAACTCATGATCGACTCGCTCAATAATCACCCCTAATAACAATCTTATTTGTTCTATCTATAACATAGAAGCTCTCTTAATGTTTCCTTATTTTTTATGCTTTAAGATCCAATGTATATATCATGCTAGGAAGTTCAAAAAAGTTATAACTTTTAAGTGGCCCTTTAAGCAAGATTGGGTTCTAAAGCGTAGGACTGACATATTTATGTAACGTTAAGCGTCTCTAGGGTTGTAAAAAGTTGATCCGACCTGTAAAACTAACTGAAACAAACTCGAGTCAAAACTATTTTTAACATGCGCTATAGTGATCCGAAATCGACTCGAGACGAATTGGTGTTTACCTGAATTTGAGTTGGACCTGGAAATTTTGAATCCGAACCTGAACTGCACCCGACCAGAGAACTGCCTGAACCCGAATTGATCCGAAAAATTATTCTCGAACCCGACCTGCATCCGACTGATATGAATCCGAACCCGAGATTGACCTGGTAAATAACTAGTATTACCCGGCATGTTTTCAACCTGACCTGTGTTGAACCTAACATGTTTTTAACTTGACCTGTAAATGATCCGACTTGTTAATGATCTGATCTGATATTTACCTGACTTGACATTTACATGACTTATATATATTACCATGGACGAAATTATAAGATTTTAATAAAATTATGATTTTTTGAGTTTATGATATAATTAAAGAATTAATATGATTGATTTTTAAATGTTATAATAAAATATTTATTATGATAATTAAATTAATAAATAGACCTATTATATAAAATTATTTAATAAAATTAATAAAATTATTTAAATGTAAATTATATAAAACGTGATTAATAAAAAATTGGCATTGAACAATGATTAATGTAAATTAATATAGTTTAATTTATAAATTATATAAATTAATTTATGTAAAGAAAAAATAATATTAATAATGCAAGTATTTATTATGGTAATTTATTAACGTTTTACATTATACAAATTTGGCAATGAAATGATAATTAATTTGATAATAAATGAATAATGGTATTGAACATGATTAATTCTCTAAAATAAATATAAAATATATGTTTAATTTTTGTAAAGAAAAAATCTAACAATTATAACTAAATAAAACATAATATAAAAGATAAATTTAATTGATAATGATAATTTAAATAACATTTGAGATAAAATTTAAATAACATTTGAGTTAATTCAAGTTGAATACAATAAAATGAAAAAACAGTGTTTTTTAAGCTCTTAGATCTTATAACAAAAATGTTATAAGGCTAAAACCCTAACTTTTCTATCAGAAATTTCTTCATCTAGCTTTTGTATTGAAATAGATGCCAACATTGTTAAATTGCGAGCAACTTTTAAAGCTACCAACATAATTTAATATGAGTAGCTATTTCTAAAAAATGACAGTTTCAACAATCTATTTAAGTCAGACTAACAAAATAAATTACAAGGCAGCAACAGGCAACAGGCAACAGGCAACAAGCAACAACAAGCAGCAGGCAGCAATCAACAACAAGCAGCATCAGGCAACATTTATGCATTAAACAAACATGCAGTCAGCAGTAAAGCCAAAGGGAATACGATGGCCAACAGTGCCAAACATTTC